CCCCCGCCACGCGAAGCAGGTGCAAAGGCGCAGCCTAGTCAGCGAGCTGCCACTTCTGCATAGCTCAGCAGCGACACATAGGGTTTGACCCTGCATACGACCGCCATTTTTCAATTTCGATGGAAATGGCTGCAAAGTGGCCATAACACGGCTCACTCCTGCCTGCCATTTGCACGCCTGCAGGCTCACCAGATGCCCCTGACCGGCCTGCCATTGCCAATGCCCAGCCCGCCGCGGCCGTGGAATTGACCAGCTCTCCGGGCCAGCAGCAGCAGCAGGAGCAGCAGCAGCAGGAGCAACAGCAGCAGCAGCAGCAGCAGCAGCAACAGCTGCAGCAGCAGGGCCAGCAGCAGCAACAGCGACAGCAGCAGGATGAGCAGCGGGTGGCCGCCCTGGAGGAGCGCGTGGCCTTCCTGGAGATGGAGCTTCTAAAGCAGGCCATAGGCACAGCAGACACGCCCATGGTGTTGGGCGACCCGTCATACGCCGCCGCGGCTTGGGCTGACGTAGACGCACCCGACGCCGCGGTCTCGGGCGCCGGCTGGGGTGCCGCCGCACCTCCTGGCGCCCGAGGCAGCGCGTCTGGGTCGCCCCAAGGGGGTGCCGCGGCGGTGATGATGGGTGCGCAGCGGCTGGCGGCGCCGCAAGGGGCTGCGGGGCAGTTAGATCCAGAGGTTTCGGCGATTGCTGAGGCGCTGCTCATACGGCGTAGCCTTGCAGTGGCGGCGCCGCCTGCGCCGGGCGCGGGCGCACCGTGGGGCGCGCGGTCGCATGATCGGCGGCAGCGAGCGGCGGCGGCCGCGGGCGGGATCACGCGCGGCCAGCAGCCGGGCGTTTGGCGGCCGGCGGGGCCGCCTGGCGCGTCGCCGTCAGCTGCTGCAGGTTATGGCGGCGACGATGGTGGTGAAAACGATGATCTGGTGCCTGTGGAGCCGCGGAACGGCCTGGCAATGGCGGGCACAATCCTGGCGGTGGGTCGCGCATGACGAACATGCTCTTGCTGCTCTCATCCGTCACGATGGAGAGGGGCCTGTGGGAGGTGGTGGTCGTTGGACGCTCGACCTTTGTGGCCGTTGACCGACCTTTGACCGAGGCACCAACGTTTGCTTTGCGAGGGAATCTCGAGTTTATAAGCGTCTGCATGCTGTTTGAAGCCATGAATCGTGCCGATGCCCCACCTGACCGTCGCTTGCGACGCCGCTTGTGGCGTCGCTGCCTTTCCTGTGCCGCATGGCCGTAGGTGTATTTCGGCGTGATGGTTGCGTTCTTTGCTGTGCTCGGGGATGTGTGAAGCCGGCAGTCCGCCCGCTGCTCTCTGTGGCATGGATACAGTTGCGCACAAAGCCGCGGCGGCTCAATCCCGCCCAAGCAAATGCTTGGGGCGCTGCCTGGCTGCAGCATGAGCCCTCCACAACAGAATAATCAGGCACACACTGGACGCCGCATCAGCATTCAACGCATGCGCACCCTGTTGTATGCAGTGGTTAGGTCCTATCAACCCCCTGACCTGCGTTGGGCCCGTGTGTCACTCTGACATTATGCCCATGGTGTCACCCACCCTATGTACTCTATCACAGGTGTACGCGGGGTCCCTGGTGACGCTCCTGGCGCTGGCGCTGTCGTCACCGGATGGCACGGTGCCGCCAGAGGCGATGGACGTGATGGACGGCATGACGCTGTGGTGGTGACGACCTATGACGTCATCAAATCTTGTGACATGTTGTGACGTTGCCGCGTGTGCCGTGGCGTGTGCCATGCGTGCGTGTGCAAACCGTGCGCTGCCCCAGTGTACATTTATACTTTACGCTTTTTGCGCCATTGTACCGTAATTACAGGGACAAGCCCTGCCGCTGCACGGGGTTTTAGGTGTTGCAAGACCATCCCGCCGCCATGTTAACGTTGGGTCAGCGTCTACTGTTTTCTGGCAGTGCTGCCGGTTCGGATTCCTTCAGGGACGATCGCTTTTTCGCAGCCTGCTTATCGTCAAACCCATCCCGGGTTTGCTCAGAACCAGTTGCAGTGTAAACTTACAGAAGAGCCGCAGCCTCTGATTACAACCACATGTTTTTCAGGAGGCGTGCTTCTGCTTCTTGCTGTATAGCTGTATATAGCTGGACATGCCTTGTGCCCATCACCACCACCCGGGGAAGGACAGCTCTAGCTTTGTCCGCGTTGTCGCCACGACAGCGCCGCGGTGCGGGGCCGCCGCAGCTGCTGGCTTGCCCAGCACCCCGCGTAACAAATGAAATGTGTCACACTTCAGCTCATGTCCCCTTCTTGCAGTGTATCCCCTGCGCCTTAATCCACAGTCAACACCTACTGCCATCGCGGCCCTGTCCTAATCCACAGGCCAACGAGGCCGAACAGCGACCGCATGCGCAACCTGGACGACAGCGGACATACAATGTTGCAATGATGCATCTGGATGTCCATCCGATTCCCCATTTGTGCCAGAGAGGTGTCGTAATCGAGGTGTAACCCGAGTTCCGCGACGAGCAGGGTGACTACATAAGTAAATGCACGTGTATGTGTTCCACACATGGGTGCTTGCCAGTTTCGCCGTACAGCTGCATGACATCACAGCCTGCTTGCTGACAGATCAGGCCGATCTAAGGCATCACGGCAACAATGCAGCTGCGCGCAAGCCAATATGCGACTGGCGGCAGAACAGCCACATGCCCACCTCGCCAGCGCCCCGCGGCTGCTGCGCGGTGCCGCACCGCCGCGCCGATCCGCTGCGAGCTCAACGAGGACCTTGCAAGCGCAGCTGTCGGCGCGGGCACTGCGGCGCTGTTCGAACCGCTCAAGCTTGGGCCGTACGAGCTCAAGCACAGGATTGTGATGGCGCCGCTCACGCGCTGCAGGTGGGGCCGCTGCTGGCGCGTGCTGCGCCTGTCCTGGCGCCATGACAACGCATGCACACCACGAGGGAATCAAATTACAAATCCCAGGCCGTGCGTCCGGGCGCCGCGAATTCTTGCCGCGCAGCCCCCGCCGGCCGGCACGCCCTTTTCCAACCAGCGGCGTCGCACGAGGCGGCCC